CCCTACATTCAGGAACAGTTACAGATAGCAGTTGAAGTGATCCTTACTGCTGTTGAGGCATCAGTTGCCTTTGCTTAACATACCTTCTCCTACCTACAGTCAGTGCTTTAAAAATTAACCTGTCACAGTGATTGTTGGGTGAGGACTAATTTTATCCAGTGACAAACAGCTGATGTTTGCCTGTTTTATTTCCCTGCATAAGCAAACATTGTTCAAGTGCTGAATTCCTAAGCAAGCTGAAAAATGCATTATTTAAACCATGACTGTGTTCCAACATTGCACAATATTAATATTGCTAAAGCTACTTAATGCTTACACAACTAATGCACAACTAATGCACATATATAGGAATTCAATAAATCTTAACTGAACTTTTAAAAAACTCGTTCTGGTTGTTCATTAATTATGTCACAACAAATTTGGACCAAATGTTGCATTGGTCTCTAGATTTGTATCATTGGTTGCAAAAATTCAGTCTCCTCTTCTACATGACCAAGAATTTCCATTTTTTATGGGCATCTGCTCTTCATTTGGTCTCTCCTGTTAGGCAAGGTGCACCTCAGTCAGATTTCATTTGTTTTTTCAGTTTGGCAAGACCAGTGAGATATTCATCTCTCTGTTTTCTCCTGGCGTCCAGGACTTTTGGAACAACTGGAATTTTTTCAGACATTGCCTGGAACAGAAACATTAATGATTAAATCTCCCATTCTGAGTAAAAAGATTCTCACCAGCATTGTTTTCCGGCTTTCCCTGTGTCAGACGAAGTAACCTTCCACACAAACTGTAATTTAGTCTACCACAAGCAATAGGCCTCTAATTTAAAGAATTAAATTAGGGTCACTAGAAATGAACAAACTTGTACGAGAAGAAAAGTGGTTCCACTTGGAGGAGGTTGGCCTGAATGTGGCAATGAAAGTGCCTCTAGAAACAACAAAGTATCAGCCTCCTCTCTTGGTTTCTTGGAGCCACAGTGTAGTCCCTTTGATAATAACCTTTTATTAAGTAAGGAGGAGGAGGCAACCTGGCCATTTATGTGGCTGAAAATGTGCTCTAAACCAGATTCCTGTATGTGTGTGTGATCTCTCTTCCGGCTCCTAATAAATGTAATGAGGGATACCATATTTATTAAAAACATTTTGTCTCTAGGAGTGCCAGTTATAATCAAAAGGACAGGGGGAAGACTCATAAGAAACCCATAATTATGATTTTTGTTGTTTATTGGAATATGGGAGAGAGAAAGTACAGTACTATTTGAGGACACAAAGGCAGAAGTCTGAACAAGTTTAGCACACAGAAGTGGTATTTAAAACAAAACAGGGAGAAAAAGTATTTCTGAGTGCACCATCAAAGTTGCCTTAGAAGTGTCAATTCAATGTATCGCTGAAAGGAGAATAAGTCCTAGTAAGCTCTGGCCAGATAGTACATTGTACCAGATCTTCTTTCAAAGAAAAAAAAGCTGTTTTGAGAGTGCAGTTAGAGATCACAAGGTCATCATTGCCAAAATAGCACCTGAGGTCTTAGGGTTAAAAGGCAAGTGTTGAGAAACTGGGTAAAACCTGGACCTGCTACCAATGACTGGCAAGCTGCAGTGACTCCAGAAGAAAGTCAGGATGAGGGACACAGGAGTAAGATAAGAAATGTTTAATGTTTTACTTCAAGAGAGGATTCTTGCAAGCCCATCTTTGGCATGGAAGACTGAAGACAGAGACACCAAAACAAACGTTCAAGCGGCATTCAGCTTTTTCTAAAGAAACTCAAACTGCTTCGTATCAATTAAAAGTTTCTAATTGTGAATAACTCCACAGTTATTATCGATTGTTATCATAAGCAGTCTGTGTTATTTAAGCATAAAAGAATCCCCTTCCTTTTTAACATAGCTGATGCTATCTTCCAGACAGACTGCCTCCATATTCAGAATTAATCTCTGACAGCTGATCAGGAACGATTCAACTCACACATGTGCTCTTTAGTGAAGCATTTAAAAAGGAAATTGTGAAAAAGTAGGGTTAGGAAATGGCAATACTTCAGTTAATTCCTATGGTCATACGAAATACCCTATAGAGTGAGCATAAACAAATTGTGGGTTTAGAAATGTTAAAAGACAAAATAGGTCCAAATCCAGCACGGCGGTTAAATATCTTTAAATGTGCAAGTAACCTTACTGAACTGCTCACATCCTAAACTTAGATGTGTATTTGCACACATTACAGACTAGAGCTCTAGTTTGTAAAGCATATAAAACAAAAAAAAAGCTACAGGGTTTATTCAGGAAGAGGGAGTAATAGGAAGAGACAGGTAGAAAATTCATGTAGGAAAGGAGGGTTGGAGCTGTGCATAATACAGCAGAGGACACAGGACAGAAGTGGTGAGAGACACTGTGGAGTATTTAATGTCAATAACCCGTAGTTGTTAGCAGTTGATTCCTCTGCCTAGTAATCATGTTACTCAGCTGCTAGACCACTTTGCCTTGATGTGTGTCAAAGTCCTTTCTTAAGGGACTTTACACGCATTCTGTACCGATCTTTTAGTTTAAATTACACATTCATGCAAGAAATACAGCCTACAGATACCTCTAACAGTAAACTGAAAAGCTACAAATGTTAAAATAAACGATAACGTTCTTTGTTCTGAACATCACTGCATTTATCAACTCCGAATTTACCTGACTGATTTTCTGCTGAATTTCTCCTGAAAATTCTGGAACTGGTCCAAAAGTGTTCAAGACAAGCCGCATACCTTCACGGTACCTTTCACAATAATTTGAAATACCTAAAAACAAATGAAAAATTACATTAAACAGAAAATCCTATTCAAGTTCAGTAAGGCTGCCTGTGCTTAAGTGTTGTCTTAAATCAGAGTCCAATGAAAACAAGTATTCTTATGCTTAAGGCATGTACTTACCATTAAGGAAAAATGGCTTCTATCCACCACACTTCCATTAAGGTTAACAGAAAAATAATTTAGGACATGTCTTCATTGCAAACCCAATTAATGTTACATACCAATAGGCAGTCCTACATAAGGGGTGTAGTATACAACCATGGAGATAGCTGTGCTTTGTTACCTGGGACCAGGAAGCTTCCCAGTGTCCATGAGGAGAGTGCTCTTGCCACTCCTCTCCTCCTGGCTGGTATGTGTCCCATCAATTGAAGTATTCCTGTTGTTACTCTCATTTATTGACCCAGAGTGTATCAAGATGAACGTGGCTCACACTCAAAAGGTCAAAGGCATGGAGACCCGGGTGGCCTCCAGTGAAGGAGAAAGGCTTAAGGAAGAACAGATGGATCTTGCAGATCAACACCTTGTACTGTAGCTAGGGTTAGCAAGAGGGATTTGGCTTTTATGACCACGGGGCCCTCTTTGATGACTGAGAGCTACTAGGGAGACAAGATCCACCTGACCCTCTAGAGAAAAACCATCTTTACCAAAAACTCGGCCAATGTGTTGAGAAAAGATTCATATTAGGAACACTGGAAAAGTGAAACTACAACCTGCAGTTCAGTGAGGAAGCGGTGCATGGGAGTGGAAAAGAGTGCAAGGTAACAGGTACAACAGAAACTACAAGAAAGTATAAAAAAAGGCAGGAGTCCACCTCTAGTGTTTGTGCACAAGTGTGTGCAGCCTGGGAAAGAAGAATGGGAAATAGGAGCTCTATGTGTGGTCACAAAACTACAACATTGTTGGAGCAACTGAGGTGTGGTGGGATCGCTCACACAACTGGAGTGCTGCAGTGGACAGATACACCCTTCAGGAGACAAGCAGGAGAGACAAGGAATGGATGGACTATCTATGTAAAGGAGCAGCTCAGATGTATGGAGCTATTCTATGGGATGGGCAACTGGCTGGGTGAGAGCCTGTGGGTCAGCATCAGTGGAGGCCAGTAAAGGACAGCATCCTCCAGGACAGCAAGAACAGTCCATCCTGATATTCAGGAAGACAAGTAAATGTATCAAGAGATTGGCTTGGATGAGCTCCAGTGCAAAAAGGCAGCATATAGTAGGTGGAAGCAGGAACAGGTTGTAAAGAAGAAATTTAAAAACACTGCCTAGGCATGTAGGGATGGTGTCAGGCAAGGAAAAACTCAGCTCTAGTTGAGACTTGCAAGGATGTCAAGGAGAACAAGAAGGACTTCTACTGTTATATTAGTAATAAAAGGCTCAACAAGAAAAGTGTGGGCCTGTTGCTGAATGGGTAGTTGACTTAGTGACAGGAGAAACAGGTAGAGTTACTCATTGCTCTTTTTGCTACAGTCTTCATTGGCAAGGTCTTCTATGCCTCTCTAGTTAGAGGCAGGGTTCAAGGAGGAGAAGAGTTAACAGCAGTAGATGGTGATCCTGTCAGTGACTATGTATAGGAACTCAGCCCCACCTGAGACCATGGGATAAGACAGAGTGTATCCAAGGATATGAAAGAAGTGGCCCATGGCCTTGCAAGGTTGCTTTCTATCATGTTTTTTAAATCATGCCAGCCAGTGCATCAATGCAATCATTTGAGATCCCAGGAAGACTGAAGGCAAATACTGCACCCATCTTCAGAAAAGGTCAAAAGAACAACCCAGGATTCTACAGGCCAATTAATCTCACTTCTGCCTTTGAGGAAATCAAGGAGCAAATCCTCTTGAAACAAATTTCTGGGCACAGGAATAAGAAGAAGGTGATTGTGACAGTCAGCATGTAGTGACCAATGGGTACAACATGGTGTAAATCATGTCTGATTGACCTTGTTGCCTTTCGTGATAAAATCACTGGATTTGTGGAAAACAGGAGAGTAGTGGATACCTTTTGTTTCAACTTTAGAAGGGCATTTGACACTGTTTCCCATGACATTCTTCTATCAACGTTACAACTTTTAGGTCTCCACGCTTGGACAACTAGATAGACAAAAAATGGGTTGGATACTCAGGCTCAGAGGTAGTGTTTAATGGCTTGTACTCTACCTGGAGGCCAGTAAAGGTTTGTTATTGCAGGAATCTATCCTGAGACCTGTACTGCTTAACAGCACTTGTTCATAAGGTTTGTGGATGATATCAGTTTGGGCAGGGGTGGGAGGTGGGGCGTGATGGACCAGCTGATACATTGGAGTGCAGGGTTGCCCTTTGACAGGCTGCAAGAATGAACCAATACAAAACCTTCAAAAAATTAACAATGGCAAATGCAAGGTCCTGCACCTGAAAAGGAAGAGCTCCTTGTAACAACACAGGCTTATGAACACCAAGAACTCTTGGTCATGGTAGGACTAAGCTGAATGTGAACTGACAGTATGCTTTGACAGCAAAAAGGGTCAACAGCATCCTGGGCTGTGTTAACAGCGCAGCCAATAGACTGAAGGAAGCGATTAGCTCCCTTTACTCAGCACTCATTAGACTGCACCCAGAACACTGCATTCAGTTTGGGATCTCCCAGTACAAGAAAGACATTCACAAATGGGAACAACTTCAGCAGAAGCCACCAAAATGGTTTGTGGCTGGTGCACTTAGAACCATAGAATAGAATCATAGAATTTTCAGGGTTGGAAGGGACCTGAAAGATCATCTCATTCCAACCCCACTGCCATAGGCAGGGATACCTCCCACTAGATCAGGTTGCTCAGAGCTCCACCTAGCTTGGCCTTAAAAACTTCCAGCAATGTGGCTTCCACCACTTCCCTGGGCAGGAACCTCCCTGGTTCCAGGGTCTCACCACCCTCATGGTGAAGAACTTCTTCCTAACATCTAATCTGTACCCACCTACTTCTAGTTTTGCTCCATTCCCCCTAGTCCTATCACTACCCAACACCCTAAAAAGTCCCTCACCAGCTTTCCTGTAGGTCCCCTTAAGGTACTGGAAGGCCACAATAAGGTTACCTCAGAGCCTTCTCTTCTCCAGACTGAACAGCCCCAGCTCTCTCAGTCTGTCTTCATATGGGAGGTGCTCCAGCCCTCGGATCATCCTTGTGTCCCTTCTTTGGACACGTTCCATCATTTTCATATCTTTCTTGTACTGGGGGCTCCAGAGCTGGATGCAGTACTCCAGGTGGGGCCTCATGAGAGTGGAGTAGAGGGGGAGAATCACCTCCCTCAACCTGCTCGCAACACTTGCTTGACTTGCCCTGTCAGGAGAGGCTTGGGGAGCTGGGCTTATTCAGCCTGGAGCAGAGATGGCTTCAGGGACCTGACTGCAGCTCTCCAGTACCTACAGGGAGGTCACTAAGCAGACGGAGCTGGACTCTTTACAGCTGTGGCATGACAGAAGGATGTTGTTGCCAACACTCGGACCCGGGATCGCGGCCACTCAGCCTCTGCCGTTGGGGGCCATCGAGAGACAGGCTCCAATGTGGAGGATGCAGCAAATGGCGCGTACTGCGTCGCAGGAATTGCTCCCACATGCCAAGCCCCGCCCCCCGCGCCCCTCGTGGGCGGCCTGCGCTTCCTTACATCACCAGGTCTTCCCAACGCTGGCCCCTAACTAGGGCAGGCTCTGCCTGTTACAACAGAGGAGAAGAGAAAATAGGCACAGTTTGAAATGAGAGGTTCAGGCTGGATACTCAAGCACTGGCACAGGCTGCCCACAGAGGCTGTGCAGTCTCCATCTCTGTGGGTTTTCAGGACTGCATGAAAACCTGAGCAGCTTAGTCTGACCTCAGAGCTGACCCTCCTGTGAACATCTTAAAAGAATGTGATCAGAGAGCCTGAGAACTAGCTAACTGGCCATAATGAGTAAAATGGCAGCTGAGAAGACCTTGGCTGAATTAGGAAAAGGCCCAGCTTCCATCAGCTCCAGTAGGAAGCACAAAAAAAATACTGTTGAGGCACTAGAGAGGAACTGGAATGATAAATGCACCAAAAAGAGAAATTGGTCATTTAGCCAGACATATATATCTAGTATATGCAGACTATAAGGTAGACTTTAAAGTAGCTATTAACTACCACGTAATGGAGAAAGGATGTTGCAGTCTTTCCCACTGTACATCACTCAAGAAGTCAAGAGCTGCACAACAGTAAATGAGCAATGCTTGTCTGGCGGTACACAGCCAATGCAAGTAAGAATGTGACCATCCTGATCAACACCCTAGATCTGGGAAGGGAAGTTGTGGATATCCTCTAAAAGCTTGTGACAATCTCCCCTTTCTGAGAGCCAAGAATTTGAATCCTTAATTATCTTCTTATTAGCTAACTATCAAAGCAGAAAAGAGAAAGCTGCAGAAGGCAAAGGCAAGCAGTTACGGTCACCAACTCTTTCACAAAGATTCAGGAGATCGTACAGACCAAGAAGCATGAACCTGAACTGCTCATGGTCTTATCCAGCCACAAAATCCAGGAAATGCAAGTGAGGTGGCCTGACTAATACACAGAAGAATGCAACTCGGGTCAGGAGTCATAAAGCAGTCTCCTGAACACCCCATAGATGGTTCCCTGGAATGCAATACTGTGTGATATCAAGACTGTAGAAGTCCCACCTGTCTAACCCTAAATGGCTGAGGTTGAAAAGTGGATGAAGGAACGGAAACCTCTGACTACTGGCAACTGTGAATCATAAACTACAACACTTATACTGCTCAACATGCCTGAAATCACTGAAGTACAGGTTTTCCAAAAGGCCTCTGAGGTCAGCAAGTGTACAGACAACACTCTTGTTTCTGGACCAAAGACAGGAGAACTTTCAAAGGGCAGATCCTCAAGAAAGTATTAAATTTCCTTTAACAAATTAGCACTCTGAAGTCATGATGACCATCAGATTAACAACTGGAAAGACAGAAGGAGAGAACATATTCACTGCATAAAAGCAACATGG